AGATGTCAGACCCATTGGAAGGAATGACTTCATCAGAAATGGAGCAAGACTAACAATGGAGTGAGCTGTTCCCAGTGGTATGCTGGATCTGCCTTCTAACAGCTCATGAAAGCTTATTGTTACACAGTCAAGAATTTTGTGAGCGTGGTTGTTTAAAATTGGCCATGATATGAGTATTTACACCATGAAAATGAGCAAACACTATAAATAAGGGACATTTTCTCTTTTTTGAAGAACTGGTTTACCAACACATCGTTGGCTATTTAGTAAAGACGTGGACTCCCTGTCACTGAAACTATTCAAATAGAAACTTGGTGATTTTCTAAAAGTTGAGTTGCAATAAATGGAATAAGGAAACACTAGAAGGTCTCCAAAGCCTTATCCAGGAGTATTTTCACTTGATCGCCTGAATGCACAGGCCATTGGAATTTCTCTTATCTGAATTTTTTTTCCTGATGCTGTATTGTCCAACATCCACTCCTTATCCACTCCTCATCTGAATTTGCATGTATTTTGCCCTCCTCTAAGCCTTTTTTTGTTTCAACTTTTAACAGATAAGTTTTCATAGCTCTGTGGTCTGGTGTTTGACTGTTGACCAGCTGTTTGAATTCTGAAAGGTTCCCTAGGCCGAGTCAGTCTCATCTTTTTCTGTTAAATATTCAGGGTACCATTAGTTAATGACATTATGTAAATAGCAGGTATACAACCTTGTAATAGGACAGCTGTATACTCTTCCTGTGCCCACCACCTGCAAAAAGCAACAAATGAAAAAACAAAACTGACAAAGAAAAAAAAATCTTATTTTCTTTATCTCTTAAAAAGATGATAAAAGTACCTCTGTCAAAGGGTTGTTCTAAGTCTTAAATAAAGCTAGTCTGTGTAAAGCTACTAGTACAGTGCTTGGCCAGGAGAAGGATCTAGTAGATGTCAGTTATATTTTCACTTTAGGGAGTATCAGTTTTATTTTTTTGCTATTTCTTAGAACTCTTGGACTCAAAATTTTAGAAAGAATTTCAAGTATTTATACACTTTACTAGGTTGACTGGCTTGTTTCTGAAACTGTCTATAAAACGGATTTTTTATGTATTTAATTCTGCTTTCTTATGAACATTGTATAGTCAGTGATGCAGCCTTAGGAGCCACTGCATTAATGACAATGAACAACAGATGTTGTCAGTGTACAAGCAGGCTATTGGCAGCATATAAATTGCTCAGAACTAGGAGAAGCTTAAAAAGAATGACACTGAAGCCGCCCACCTCCCCAGGTTGGAAGAAAGTGATAGTAAAAATATAACAAAGGTGTTTATTTGGGGTATAAACTGTTCCTTTGTTGTGCAAACGCTGTGATACGTTGATGGAGACACAAGAGAAGCAGACACACCCAGAGTGGTTTATAAGCAGAATAACTCATAACGCTGGTATGGAAAAAGCCCTTTCTACAACTCACAGAACAATTTCTCCAAAACTTAATTCCTAAAAAGAATAAAGCTTTTATGGATGAGAACATAGGAGATCTAAGTGGTATCCATTATTTCTGCAGATATTTTCCATTTTTGTTGTTTCTCAGTAGTCATCTGTGCAGACACCATCATTGAAATACGGTACATTATTTATCTTGCATATACTGTGTACATATGTGTTTTTCATCAGTTTCAATAATGTTGGACATTTCTGACTGTGAATACCAGTCTATGGACTACATACTATGTGATAACACACTTCTGGAAACTAGTCTTTAGTCCCAGCTCTGGTGGAGATTTTCTCAAAAATGTTGACTGTATATGTTTCTTTTGCCTCTGGGTGATGCTATTTTACAGATTCTTGTCAAGTGACTAGAGCCCAGTTTAAAGACTGTTTCAATCAGACAGTTAAAGAAATGATTAATTCACTCTCCTCTTTGGTCAGTATTGACTGGCATCAATATTTTCCATAGTCTTTGCTCTTTAGGTACATTGAGTATATGAAACAACTATATTAAAAATAAGTTTGGAAGCTTAGACCACTTGAAATATATGTATAAAATCTAAGATTCATATTCAGGACTTGTGGTTCTGATTTAAGGGTCCTCTGACCTTATTAGTCTTTTGCAAGAAACACCTCAGGCTCTGAGTATTTTTTTCCTTTGACCTTTTCGCTACTCACCATAATAGATTTTCCAAGTGAAAATATCGATTGGATATTTCCCCTTCTTCCCCTTCCACCAATACCATACCATGTTGGTGGATGAAAAGAGGCAGGCGGGGCTGGGGGGAAGGATGGGACATAAATATTTAATGATAAAGTCAGATTCACCAGAAGCAGACTTGGAAGAAAGAAACCTAATTGCTCCACTTTTAACACACGTGTTTTCCATAGACTGCTGGTTTTCTTCAGTTTTCATAATTACAATTTCAGGCCGCATCCCTCCACTCCAGGACGGTTATCCCATTTGTGGGTTACCCATTTCCTGTGCGTTTCCTTCCTCTGGCCCACCTCTTGAGACCACATTAACATTACTGCACATCAGAAATGATACCACAGGTGGCCAGAGCAAGTTTGGAAAAAGAAAATGAAATGGAAACCTGTCAAGATTGCTTTGTGTTAAAGCATTTGGTGAGGAGAGGCCCAAGCTCACTCTCAGCCAGAGGGAGACTTCTGAAAAACAGAGGCATTTTGGAAATTTATGCTATTTCTTTCATGATCATCTCTGTTAACCAAGCATTAGCTGGCTAGATCTCTCTGATGAGGTCAGAGTGCTAAGCGTAATGGCAGTTGTGAATTTGGAAATAAGGTTAAGGATATGCCCACATTTCTGGCGTGCCAATATTTACTGAAATCCTAGTTAGACTTAGTTTAATGCATAGTTTCGTAAGGGCTTACAATCAAGACAAAATCCACACACCAGATTCAACAGTCAACAACAATTCAGTAGAATTCAGTGTGTAGGGGTTGTATGTGTAGAACAGGGGGTATATGTGTGTGCCTGTCCGTAAGTTCAGGAAAGGGATGAAACATGAATAGGTTGAAGAACCGGAGACAGCTGTATGCGCTACCTGAGCTACCAAAGACTGGGGAGAGGTGGGAAAGGTGGAATTTGGGTCAGTGCAGTAGAGAGAGAGAGAGAGAGAGAGAGAGAGAGAGAGAGAGAGAGAGAGAGAGTGTGTGTGTGTGTGTGTGTGTGTGTGTGTGTGTGTGTGTGTGTGTTTGCAGGGCCTCAAATGTCAGAGAAAAATCAATTAAGTGGGGGGAACAAAAGCAAATGTTTATAAAATATATAAGCCCCTATTTTCTAGATATTATCTGTGATGGAAAATGGGTTCTCCCTTTGTTAGAATGAATCCTTGAAACTATTCAAGTGTGTTTATAATATTCAACAAAGGGCAGTCTCATTTGGGGAGCACATTAATAAATTCTTGTTGGGGAGTATTAGAGGTATCTGTTGCTAGTTAGCATTTGATTTTGACTGATGAAGTTTGGAAAGAGATGAGCTTCCATTTAGGTTGTACCACGGATGAAAGCCAAGTTGTGGCTACAAAGCCCTGGATGCTCTAATCTCACTTTGTGTTCTGATTTGCCACCTCACATGCCATTCTCTCCCTTGTTCACTAAGCTTCAGCAATATCTTTCTCTTTCTACAGTGTGCTAACTTGTTCCCCACCTTTTAGTCCTTGCATTTGCTGTGTCCTCTACCAAGACACTGGTCTCCAGGCCCTTGGGCAGACTAGCTCCTTCTCATCAGTCATGCCTCAGCTCACATTCCACTGTCTCAGAGACTGGAGTCTTTTGCTGACCATCCCACCTAAGGTGGTAAACTCAGACCCCTCAGCGGTCACCATCGTATCACTCTGTTTAATTCCTTTAAAGTATAAGGAGTGTTCTGAATGGTCTTGTTAGTTTATCTGTATCACCCCTTTAGCGGGATCAGTAGGACAGGGATCTCATCTGCCTTGTTCCCTGCCAGAGCCAGCATGTAGGAGGTACTCGGTAAAGTATGTGTTTGGTGAATCGTTGGCAGTTGGGTCTCCAGTATGCTTAAGCACATACAAAGCTTGTGTTCCAATGTACCAAATTGTCACAGAACAGGAAGAGAATAGTGACTGGTGAAAGACCAGGGGTGGCTTGTGTCGTTATGGCATTATGTTACAGTTCATCTCTTCTCCTTTGTTCTCTACTGAGTCTTAAACTGAAAATCAACACCGCTCAGAGGGATATTTCGAAGAGATGAACTTAGAAGGAATAATTGTGTGGGTTGATGAGTGCTAGTAAATTATATCTGAAAGAGCTGCTGATTAATTCATTTCTCGATATGTTTGCATGTCATAGCTGTTGTGGAATGAAATTACAACACATACTCCTAAAGCTCACCCCTTGAAGTCCTCATACATTTTCCTGTATATGTCACCTTTCCAGACTATGTACTACTCTTCTTTCCCTTCTCAAAGTAGTGCCAAATAAGTGTCTACCTGCTACAAACTATGGTACAATAGCCATTGTTAATTTATTGACAGAAGATTGCACAAACTTTTATTTTGTTCATGGGTTTTTCACAGTAGCACATGTCTGGCTGACACTGTATAAGCGCTGCCTGAGTTGGTCCTCACTTGTAGCAAGTTGGCTTGTAGATGGCTGAAATTATAAAGTATGTGTTCTTGAGTTACCTAATGTGCATTTATAAATGAAATGCTACGATGCACTTTTGTGTGTCATTAATACATGCTAACAATCAAATGGTACATCCTTCATTCTGCTGTTGAAATAAACTTTATTTCATTATGTTTTTCCAAAGGATCAATGGTATTAGAACAAGTCAGAGATGGCAGAAGAAATCTCATTTGCCTTTCCCACACCTAACCTTCCTACTTTCCCCTGTTATTATGCTAGAAAGCCATGCTTCTACTCTAACAGGCAATCCACCAAATTGCTGTTAATTTTTAATGCATTATCTTAACAAGTAGGTAATTCTCCCGTCTCCTTACTGTTTAGTAATCTGCAATGTCCAATGCTCCCTCTTCTGCCTTTAGCACTGCAGTGACAACACGCATCCCTGCCAGTCAGACATGAACATTGAAGGAGCCTGGAGGAGAGGCTACACGGGGAAGAACATTGTGGTGACCATCCTGGATGACGGCATTGAGAGAACCCATCCGGATCTGATGCAGAACTATGTGAGTGTTTGCTGTGATCGGAACGCCTTGCCTCTTTGGAAGCAAGTGAACTCACGGTAGAATGATCAGAAAGAGGGAAACCTACTGGCAAATGCAGCAAACAGATCCAGAAGTCTCTGTGTATTGCGCTAGTCTTGTAAGAGATGCACTTAGAGTCCAGGAAGCATGAGATACATGCTTTCAGCTTTCAAGTGCCTTTGATGTTCTGACAACAGACAGCAGGTGATAAGGAAGTAGAGACCCCACCGTCCACACCACCTGCTACCAGCAACAACCGCTATTCTCAACAGCTCATCCACACAACTAGGAAGTGCTGTTTCTTTTGTGGAGAAAAGTGCACTTAGGACTTTTCTCAAGTTTTTCTGTGTTGGTCTATTTCTCTCCTTTTTTAAAGGACAGTGATGATCCTTACAAATCAGTGAATTCTTTTTCTTAAGAAGGTATTACAATTCCAGGACTCAGAGAGAACATAAGATGAGCCCAGGGTCGCAGAACAACCAAAAATGCTGAAACTCAGTACTTTCATTGAAAACTATGGTCTTGATACCCCGCGGCTGTGTGGGGAGTGGGAGGGTAACCTGTCCCCCGACCCTGTGATCTTTTGCTCCAGTGGCCTCTGGGTCCCCTCGGCCACTGTGCTGTTCGCTGCCTGGGAATATGCCAGTGACCCCTCCTCTGTCTTCTGCTCTCCAGAATGATCCCTTCCTGAGCTTCCCCTCCCTAAGTTGGGTGAAAAGTGCCATAATTATTTCCTGGGTGCCATTCTCTGTCTGCTCCAAATTCATGTTTCCTGACACCTTGGGGTTCTCCCTAAAATATTCCTTTCGTTACTAAAGAGCCTGCAGTGACTCCCTATTGTCTGCAAATAACAACTCTGATTCCTCTGAGGGCCTAACAGAAACTCCAGGTGGACCCCACACATGCCCGTGTCTCCTGGCTTTTCCTCTGACTTCTTTTCTATTGACAGTTGTTTCCGCCCATAAACACTAATATCACTGCGAAACCCATTTTAACTTCAAGCACGTTCATGCTTCTCATAAAACCATTTGGATAGAAACGGCCATCTATTTTCTCTAGTGTTTCTTATTTGTTCATTCTCATTCAGCGACACTTAATTTCTCTAAATTTTCCTTTTCTCATTCCAACCTGAAAACACTCCATTTTATCTTTGCAAATATAGTGCTTCCCAGTCACTTCTTGGCACATCAGGAACTGCCACTGTCTCCCATAGTCACCCACGTTTCTAACCTTGAGGACCTTCCTTCACACAGGAAATGCAGCATCACCCACACTCCCAGCCACTTCATCCACTGTTCTTTTTGCCCTTTTTGTTTCAAAAATTCAGTGAAAAAACTTCACAAGTGAATTATTACAATGAAATAGTGATTTCCCCCAAATCTGATGATTTTCTCTGAGGCTTAAAAAGGAGAGAGAGAGAGAAGGAACTGGAAGTTCATTTAGTTGTCATTAAGCAAAATAGTGGAGTGGTTGCCCTCACCCTGTGTCTGAGCACAAGCGTATAAACTTGTGTCTCTTCACAGCATGGAATTTTAGGGCTAAAAAGGAACTTCAGTTCAGTCTCCTCATTTAATAGGGTAAAAAATCAGGCCTGAAGACTAAAATGAGTTAACCCAGACCATATATAGAACAGAGGTGTGGCTACCTAACTCCTAACAAAGGAGTCCTTCTTGTCATACACAGTGCTGTTCTTGTGGTGTATTCCTGCTCCCCACTGCGTCGGAATGTATTTGATAAAATACAAATAGCTTTAACCTAACGGTGATTGCATTGTTTACTTTTTTCATTTTTTTCCCCCTCTTTGAAAGAATATTCCAGAATTTATCTGTGTAATTAGCGGTACTGATACCCTCTCAGTTCTCCTAATATCAGTGCCATGAAGAATAAAGCACAGTGGATGGGGTCTCAGATGGCCTTGGTTCCAGTCTTGGTTCCATGGGTGGTTCGTTTCATGACTCCAGCCAAGTTACTTAACCTGTCTAGGCCTCTGTTTCCTTATAAGTAAATTAGTAAGTTACACTAGCTACACTCCCTTTGTACTCTCATGACCACGAAGGAGGGCTGCATGGCCCCCTCTGTACAGGAAGCAGGGACTTACTACCTTTATATGTTTGCATATTTTGCTTTATTTTCCCTAAATGTTTCAGACTCTATGTACCATAGAGCTAAACTTTGTTTACTATCTTTATCAAAACTGAAATCAGGAATTATCATAAAGTATCAGAATATTCAAAAATCCCAAATTATTTCTACATTTATTTGCTTTCGGAGGTATTTTTGCTTCATTTTGAACCTTGACATAGAATAAAACTTTGTTATTTTGATTGGTGCATGAGGCCATTGATATTAGCAGCAAGGCTGAATTGTAGATTCAGTAGATAAAACATTTGAAACCAGACAAATATCACCTAATAGAGATGCTGAGATACCTGATATAATAAATTCCTAGTACCGACTTTTAATTGACCTGCCAATTATTTGTGAATGATTTTTATCTTAAAAAGTTTTTAAATTAGGTATTTGACACTGAAGAAATAAAGATAGAAAGTCCATGGAGAAAAGATAGTAACTGAGGATATATTTGAAGAAATTGGGTGAGAGTCCAGTTCTTAGTCTAAGAGAAAAAGTGCTGGCGAGAATGGACTGAGCACGTCTTTGGTCTGTGGAGAGTATTTCTTCACCCTAAGGGTGGAAGAAAGTACGACGCTGATTATTACTGAACAAGGCATCCTGACACCACTGAACCATGCATGTATTATTTAATCTAATTACTCCTTTGCAGAAATGTGTTTAAGAATGCATGAGCTTTCAGGTTAATGGCTAATTAATGACCATCTGTCTTTTTCTCTTGTTCTTCTCTGTGGCCATAGGATGCTCTGGCCAGTTGTGACGTGAATGGGAATGACTTGGACCCAATGCCTCGTTACGATGCAAGCAACGAGAACAAGTAAGGCCCAAGGGAAGGGTGGCTGGCATGTGGCTGGCAAGGAGACTTGCTTTCTGCTTTTGCCGAGGGAGATATTTTTTTTTTCTTGGAAATACTTGGTAACAAATGGTCCCTGATTTGCTCCAAGATAAACAAGCATCTTCCCACTGAAGCTTCTGGGTAATAAAAAGGAGTGGTCCACATAGTAAGAATCATTGTAGAGAGAAAGAGAACACTCAAGAGAATGACTCAACATTTCCAAATTTTGAGAGCAGAGCTGGAAAACATTGCCTTTCAAGTGGTAATTGACTTGTGGCCCATTTATTGAGAGACAGTGCGCTTAAAGGGAGAGGCAAACAAAGTATCCCCCAAAAGAGGTACTTTGTTAAATTCAGCAGATTTGAATGAATACTGTACATGAAGTCTCTTTCTTCTCCTCTTCCCTGTAGTGATGGTGTTTTCTGCTAGTATACCTGAAATACTTACAAGGCTTGCCGCGTGTGGAACACATTACATTTCTTATCTCCAGAGTCAAGAGCCATAGAAACCCATTTAACCACATTTACACTTTCCAGTTAGTACAGTAGTTTTTGTGAAAGCAATTGAAAATGCACATCTTTTTGATAAGATAGAATATCTTAAAATTCTTCAGAAAGTAAATGAAAATGGTGTTTCTTGCTCTCAATGATACAAGTTTTTTAAAGGTTATGGATATTTCTAATCTTTAGATCACATTAACTTTCTTCCTTTTACTGCGAAGCTCCTTCAGCCATTATGCTGTGATTTAGATATTATCACTTGAATTTTTATTTGCATGTTTTAGTTTGGGATTGCAGAAATTCCAAAGAGTGGTGGTGTGCCCATTTATTATGTACTATTTCCAGCCTGTGTTTTTTCCATAGGGAAAAATTTCTCAGCTAGTATTATTTAATTGAGTCAATAAGTTTAGATAAAACTATATGACCTAGATAATTGTGACTGTACATGGGATCCTTTCCCTTTTTTTTCTTTTTACCATCTACCAAGAAGCCTCAAAAAAGTTACTGTGGAAAATATGCTGATCATTAATATTAACAACTGGGTAAATATTGTAGATCAGATTTAGCGGTGAAAGCATTAATGTGCAAATGGATGTATCAATAGATAGAATTTTCTAGAACTTTCTAAAGAGAAAGAGAACTAAATTAAACCGGGTAACTTTCTTTCAGACCCAGTCATTACTGTCCAGATTACACTATTTAAAGTTAAAGTGAATTTCACACAAAGGATTATAGTTTGAGACACTGCGCTCATGGATTTAACCTAATGTGAGAGCATGAAATACTGAAGGAACTTGAAGCTTCAATAAAGTCATTGCTAATAAATGTCAATATACTATCTGTTCTGCCATAACACATGCATTTCTAAAAATACTTGCACTCTACAAAGTCTAAAACCATGGAGGAATAAGCAAATGGAGTTAGAGCTCAGCACTGAAATATTTCATCAGAGATACACACAAAAATGATTAAAAATAATCCCAATTTTATCCATGTAAAGTGGTTAAGAAACATGTAAAACTAGTCACAGTGACAGTCAATCTGCAAAAAGACCTGAAGTTTGTTTGTGGAAGTGTGCACCCGTTAGATCAACTCCTACTCACACGCTTGCCCTTTGTGTGTGCAAAAGTAAAAGAATATGGAAAAAAGAGATCAAGATTTAAATTTTTACAGAGAACAGAGAGTAGAAAGGGAAAGTACAAAATAGGTTGGGAAGAAAAGAGGGGCAGTTAGGAGAGGGGAGGACACCACCAGGATGGCCTGCGGAACCCTGGCAGCGCACAAGTTACTGTGAGATGGAAGGAGAAGGATCTGAAGTCACCTGGGAAGTAGCCGCCCTCAGCCTGGACAAGTATGGCCCACTGTGCTCCTGTGGTGTGTAGTATTTGTGTGTCTGCTGCAGTATTTGTACAGGGCTTAGTACAGCTGGGTATATTTTCTACATTTACCTAGAGTTTGGGGGACAAAATTGTGTATAAACACATGCAAATTTCATATCATGTTCAACTTACTCCCTAATATATCAGCCATTGTTGATTGATTGCTTAGATATATCAATCAAAAAGTATGTTTTCAAGGGAAGCAGTATAGCAGAATTGACTGTACTATATCCATTAGCTAAATTTTATTTCTCCTCACTTGAGGACATGCTTACTGATTTTAGAAAGAAGGGAAGGGAGGGGGAGAGAGAGGGAGAGAAACATCCATCAGTTGCCTCATGCATGCACCCTGACCAGGGACCAAACTCACAATCCAGGCATGTGTTCTAACCAGGAAACAACCCACGACCTTTCAGTTTATGGGCCAAATGAACCAAACGGGCCAGGACCATTAGCTAAATTTATCCCATCAACACTTGTATAGAGAAAAGAGAAACAGGAAAGGTATGGGAGCGTCTAGGTCATCTTAACACTCAAAGTATCCTTGTACAGGATGTCAAAGAGCAAGGGTGTCTCTAGGTAGAAAAGAAAAATCCATTGTGCTCTCTAGTCAGTTCTCTCTGAAGCTACATGTGCTCAGTTTTTGCATTGAAACTCTCAGTGTTCATAGCAACTGTTCACCAAGGGGAATCTGACCTGTGACTAACTTTGCTAACCACAAAGTCTGTATGTAAAGACAGTTCTTTAAGTATTGGCTTTGAAGTCTTTTTACAGTCTGCCTTTTAAAAACTGTATCCTTTGTGAGGGTTCCTTTTACACTTGACCAGTCCCCAAGACCTTTGCTAAGAAGTATCACAGTGGTCTTGCTCACCTTGGGGTATTCTGGTGTGTCCTGTTTTGACCCATTCTAAGCACTGACCATGGCTCACTGAGTATGGTGTGAGTCTGATTATTGGAGGACACTGGAACTGTTCCAGGTGTGTGCTTAGGTTTGTAGTCTTGTGAGTGAATTACGGCATTTTCAGAGGTGCAACACCAGCACTGCCTACCTCTGTTTTGTAGCAGCCAGCAGTCACGTGGGGCATCTGATGTCCCTTTATCTCCTCTCAGTAGTGCTACCTGACTTTTCATTGGCCAACCAGAAGCATGTGCTGAGGCATTTAGGGCTAAAATATCCTCCCTATTACACCATAACTATAGTTAGGGTTGATGGACTGTCTTTAAGCGTGGATCCACAGACAGATAATTCTCTTGGAATAGAGGTCACCTGGCATCAGGAAATAAGAGTTGGTCTGTAGTTTAGAAGAGTTGACTTGCCTTGGTGCTCCTTGATTAACTTGATGGTCTTTGGACTTAACCAATCTGAGCTTTAGTGCTTTTTAAATCTGTAAAATGGGCATAATAATACTTCTAAAGAGTAGCAATAAAGTATGTGAAACACCAAGCATAATGCTGACTATATAATAGGTGGTAGATATTTACAGCTGTTATTATAATTGTGTTTTATTCCTTTATCCAGTTCTTGGATAAATAAAGGGTTAAATTTATAATGTCTTAAAATACATATGCACATGAACATTTAAAACGTAAAGTAAGACTTGGAGGTCTTTTTTTACCTTGGTTAGAGGTTCACTTAGGTCTTTCTGCTTCTGCAGGGGCTGGGAGCTGTGAATCATTGTCTGCAGTAGTCCTGCTTCTCATTAATTCCATTGCCCCACCTCCCTCAGCAGTGCTGAATCCTTGAATTTGATGTAAGGTAGTGAAGGGGAGGACTTTCTAATCATCTTCAGAGTAAGAAAGTTGAGGAATTGGCTATGCAAATGCCTCCTCATTGTACCATCTGACCAGAAGGTATCAGAATGTATTTGAAATTATTTCATACGTGACGGCATTTGTTCATTCAACAGATGTTCATTGATACCCCACTTTGTCAATGATGATGCTCTGCTAAATGCTGGAAGGCAATGGTGAAGTAACAGAGGCTACTAGCTAATGGGTTGATTAGGAGATGACTTAGGAAGAAGCTGTAATGCCTGAAGAGTTTCTAGTACTGAGAGAAAATGTACCATCACAACTTTGTACAAATCATTTCTCTTAGACTTACATGATTATATTTCTAATGCCCAAGCCTTGGGGTGGAGGCAATCACCTCTGGAGTATAAAAATGATAAAAATTCCTTTCTTGTCACTTTCTCATATCCCCAAGTAGTAGTGTGTCAGACCTAAATAACTGTTGCTAAAGACACAGCATTATTGGGGGAGACCATACAACTAGTGCAGCTTTGTCACCATTCATATTAACTTTCTGAATAAAGCTGACTGCAGTGCTCTAAGCTTAAAATAGAAAACGCCTCTCTGTAAATGAAACAGCCTCCTGGCATTTCATACCACTACTCCTATTTCTGATAAATGAATTATTGATGTCCGAGTTAGATGGTCCCTTCCCTAGTCATAGCAACACATTTAGTAGGAGATGAGACCATGACATTGTATTTTGAATGTGTCATGTATGGGCCTAGAATCTAATTCCTTTTCAAAATAAACCAACTCATAGGTTAAAAACTCATTTTCAAAAAGGAATGGATTTTCCATTTTGTTTCTTATCTCTGTTTCTAGGAAGATTTAGCCAGGGTGGTTCTTTAGTCTCCTTTCACACAGAATCTCTGGTTTTAAGAATGTTGCCATGTTGCAGAAAATGAAGTGTGTGTGGCCTGTTTTTCTTATTCTTTTGGATGAGGATTTGTTGTCAGGAGGGAGTGTTCCAAGCCAAGCCAATGTAGACAGTGTTTTCTGATTATACAGAAATATTTTAATTCAATGTGAGAGAAAAAAAATACACTTAGATCTATGACTTTTAATCTCTATGACCATAATACTTCTTACTGTAGAAGCATTATTTCTTCATATATAGGATTTAGCCAAATATATTAAGAAAATATCTTACAGCTAAGTAGATTAGACAGAACCTACCAAAACAAAACAAAAACAAAAAAAAACAGGGCCATTATAAGAGGCTGATATGTTTTCTAAATATTTTCAAAATAACATCTATAATATACTCATAGTAGTTACCGCATCAGTGATTATCACATACATTTATGTA